GAGTGATCACTGCTGCTCTGAGTTCATGAATGCCATGGGCTCTGTCATGTCCAGAACACAGCATTTCACGGCACTCTTCCCCATTCTCTGGCTCTCACCTTCTTTTTCTGCCCCCCCCCTTTTTTTCAATGTTTCTTAAGCCTTGGTCAGGCAGGAGTTAACATACATACCCCATTTAAGGCCCAGCACTTGTTCTCAGCATTCTGACCATTAACCACTACCCACTGAGAGAGGTGCTCCTCGGGCTGTGGGTGAGGGCAGGTACTATGGATATAACCAAATATTTAGAAATAGTTTGACATCTCCAACAAGACAGCAGTAGGCGGTTTCCCTTAGGCCCTAAGACCTACTGAGACACGGGCGTTTGACCAGGTTTACAGTACCAGGCATGAATTTTTCCCTGTCGGTTCCCTCCATACCCTTCAAGCTGTTACTGCGCCAGTGGGTACATATTCCCTAGTAGGTCATCATTGTAGGATGCAGGGTTCATTACTGAATAAAATCTCATGTCATATTGAGGAGGTCAAGGGCAGTCTTCTGGGGCAGGTCACTTCACATCTCACTGTAAAAGAGGATCTTGTGTTGTACCTGTGAGGAGGTGCGCATCTTTAATCCCAGCATTGGAGAAGCAGAGGTAGGCGCATCTCTGTGAGTTCAAGGCCAGCTTGGGCTACACAGTGAGTTCCAGGCAAACCAAAGCTATGCCGTGAGACTTCTGTAACCTCAAGAGGAGGGGAAAAAATGGATTTTGTGGGATTGATGTGGGGGGGATATATGACCCAGTAGCCCTCCTTATCAGATTCAACTGGGGAGTGGGGCGGAATAAGGTATCTGCGATACTGTGCGCAAGCGTTCTGCGCTTGGACGCGGCGGGTCGATTCTGCGGCTGCGCAAGCGCCTGACCCTTTTTTTGTTTTGTTTTGCGACTTCGCTGCTTGACGGCTGTAGCACCGCCCCCCGGGTTGCCCGGGTAACGGTGGCGCGCGTGGTCTGGAAAGGTAAGGCTGACTGGAGGCCAGAGGCCTGGCGGTTCGCTGTGGTTGTGTCCCCGTGCCCAGCGTGTGAGCGGCGGCCTCGGGCGCGAGTCGGGTGCGGGCTGTCTGTCACTCAGCGCCCACGGGCACAGCGTCGTGCGGGCCGCCGAGCACCCTGCTCGGACTGACAGGGTGCCGGCTGCCCCAGAGCCGAGCTGGTCCGCCCTGGCCCTCAGCTCTGCACCTCACTGCGCCGGAAGCAGCACGGGCGCAAATGTGTTTTCAAATGACGAGCCCGCGAGGGCTGAGAATGGAGCTCGGTTGGCAGCGGGTTTCTGTGCCCACGTTTGAGAGGCGGAGGCGAGAGGATCAGCTGGGTTTTATTTGGTTGGTTTTGGGTTTTGTTTTGTTTTTTCGAGACAGTGTTTCTCTCTGTAGCCTGTCCTGGAACTCGCTGTGTAGACCAGGCTGGCCTTGAACTCGCAGAGATCCGCCTGCCTCTGCCTCTGAGGCCTGGGATTAAAGGCGTGTGCCACCATCGCCGAGGATCAGCTGTTTTTAAGGCCATCCTCTGCCACCTATGAAGTTTGAAGCCAGCCTGGGCTACGTGTGGCTCCGTCTCAAAAAGTAAAATAAATAAATGATAAGGGACCACGGGTGAGTTTGGCCAAGGTAGGCTTGTTTGACACCTGGTCCAAGAGTGTTGGGAAATTAAATGCATCTACCTCTTCCTTTATTGTTTGTTCCTGAGTTGACATTTTGGAACGTCTAAAAGGGGTTAGTTATGCTGACCTTTGGGTGTGATGGTTCGAACCTTTAGCCCCGGCACTTGGGAGACTGAGGTAGAGAGATCATAATGAGATTAAAACTAGCCAAAGCGACACCAAAAATGTTAAATGAAAGTTAGGCTGGCAGATCAGGGAAAAAATGAAGGACAGGCCTTGCTTTTGGAAGACAGAAATACGCTTGTGGTGCTTTGGCATCAGGCATGCCCAGGCTTGGGAAGTGAAGAGTTCCAATCTTCTCAGGTACATTCAGTCCCGAGTCACTTTCCTCACCTCTACAGTGGGAGTAAGATTAATGCCAGGGCTGGGACTGCGGCTCCTTCCATAGAGCGTTTTCTTTGAATGAGCCAGGCCCTGGGTTCACTCCCCAGCACTAGGAGAAAACAAGTTTCAGCCTTTGCATTCAGTCCTCCACACCACTGACCCGGTCTGCCCTATACGTTAAATGTGCCTCAGACACCTAAAAGATGTCCTTCCTCTTTTTGTTTATGTACCTATTTATTGATTGTTTTTGTTTTGTTTTTGTTTTTTTTGAGACAAGGTGTCATTCTATAGCCCAGGCTGGCCTGGAACTCAGAGCAATCCTCCTGTCTTAGTCTGAGTGCTAGGATTACAGGCATGTGCCACCACATCAGGTCTTAGTTCCCTAGTAACAGCTTTGAGCAATTGACTGACCTCAGCCTCTTTATGAAATAAGGACAGTTCTCAGGGGCCATGTGTCTGTCCCTGGCCCAGTTGGTGCCTGGAACCCTGAACCTGCTTACTGTTATGCCCAAGTCATGAGCCCCCCAGAGACCACCAGGAGTCTGAGTTTGTATGCAAAAAACAACCTTTATTGCAAGCTCCAGCTTGGATTTTCATCCATTCTGACATAGAGGTTGGACCAGGGAGCCCTGAGCTTAGTTGAGGCAGGGTTTTTAAGGAGCAAAGGATGGGGGCGACAGAGGAATTCCAGATTCAGATGGGGGTTGAACTCCTGATTTGTCAGACAGTGATTGGTACTGGCATTGCTGCAAGGAAACTGGCAACCTATATGCAAGTTAGGTAAGCTATTCTTAATGTTCTGGAGCATCTAGTTCTTGTTTGTCCCAATTATGATTGGTCCCCTGCAGGGTAAGGGTGAGGCCTAGTCCCAGTATTGTTAGTCTGCAGCCTGTCATGGCTGCACTGATATTAAGTTAGGCCTCTTTACTTGCAATGGTTCCAGGTTTGTTTCTGTTGCCCTTTTACATCGTGGTGTTCTGCTGACACTGCAGCAAGAAGCATTTCTCTTTTTAAGCTGCGTTTATTTTATCCATGTATTTTGCCTGCATGTACGTTCTGAGACTAGCTGCTCACATAGTAGCCACAGTCAGGAAGTAGTGTGGGCTTGCTTTCACCTTTTTCTGTGCTCTTGAGGCTGCAGCCCATGGGATGGTGTTGTCCACACTCAGGCTTGGGCTTCCCATCCCAGCTCATCTAACCTAGACATGCCCAAGGGCTTGCCTCTGCAGTAGTCTATCAGGCTGACAGTCATCATATCTAGTTACAGTGCTCTCAGGAGAACAACCCTTCAGCTCCCTTACCATACAGTAGCCACGGTCATAAATGCCGTTATATATGTCATGTACAGTAATGCTCAGGTATGTTTCCTTGAAGGCCTAAGAACTTAACTTATTTTGGTGCGTTTCCATCTGGAACACTCAGTTCTAAGACAGGGCATCGTGATGATTGCCTTCATAAACATACCTGCATGCGTATATATGCTTGCACTACAGACATACAACACTTAAGTGTTTGACCCATGTGTCTTGTCTGTGGACCACATACATGCAGTGCACATGGAGGCTAGAAGAGGACATTAGGTCCTTAGGGTGGGAGCTGCCATGTGGGTGCTGAGGATGGAATCCTCTACAAGAACAGTGCTCTTGCCACATCTTTTCTTTCTAGTGGTCATGAAAGGTGAAAGCCGCCCACCTCCTCAGGAGCAACTCTCCATTGTCTAATGGACGCTGGTTTGAGTGCAAGGACACCCAGATCATTGTCCTTTGTGAGGGGTTATGTATGTGACCTTTAAGTTTCATGTAACTTCTCAGGTTAACTCATGTGCAGACCTGACCCTAAACAGCTTCAGGTTCGAATCCCGCACCCGCCCACCTGATGACAGCATCTGTCTGTCAATTTCACTGTACACATTTGCATGGACTATGGCTCATCAGGACTGTTGTGAGCTGTTACCTGGCAGCAGCCCTTGTGTTACATCCAACTGGCTTTCGTGTGTGTTCCACACTTGTTTTGTCTCCTTGGGTCAGTGTGAGACCCAGAATAAAGAGGTCTTGACTTCAGCTTCCTTGGTTCCTTCTAGGTAATAATGCCTTACATGTTTGGTAGCTGTGTGGCATCTCACTCACACCTAGTTCATAGTGAGCAGGCACAGCCTGTGCCTGAGCAGGACACACAGAGCGGGCCTGGGCTTTGGACCGCACAGCCCATCACTCACAAGACCCTGTCTCAAGCAAAAATAAATAAATAAACAAACAAACTGAAAACCCTGAGAACTGACTGCCCCAGGCCTTATGATGTATTTTAGAGTCAATGTTTGGAAGAGGGAGGTCTCCCTAGACTCACTCCGCTGAGGATGCATTCTTGCTTGGTTTTGTCTGTACATCTCAGTACCTCGGAGTGTTAGCAGTCCCTCGGCGGCTCTGAATGTCTTTTGGTCAAGAAAGGAAAGTATGCTGTTCTTAAAGGCAGGCATTCTCAGAGTGTGAGGCTAGGCCTTGGTGCTACCAGCCTCAGTTAAGACGGTGGCACTGGCTTCTGGGAGGTCTCAGGCTTTGGGACAACCTTGGTGACTGATCTGTGTGATCATGTCCCTGTCCCATGGCGTCTTCTAGTTGGTTGTTTTATAGATACCCTGCCTTTCTCTGGAGACCATATGAACCCGGTTCTGTGTGTGCTGGCTGCGTGGGCCGTGATTACTGACCAGTTCTCCTCCTCTGTCCCCTAGAGGCCTGTTACCCTTGAAGAATGGCAGAGGCAGTCTTCCGTGCCCCGAAGAGGAAAAGAAGAGTATATGAGCGTTATGAGTCACCACTGCCCATCCCCTTTGGTCAGGACCAAGGTCCCAGGAAGGAATTCCGAATATTCCGAGCTGAAATGATTAGCAACAACGTGGTAGTCAGGGACGCAGAGGACATGGAGCAGCTGTATGGGAAGGTAAGCCCAGCAACTCTGGTGACATCTTGAGCAGGCCCCTCCCAACCTCTGTTGTGAGGCTGAGAGCTAGACACACCCAGCCACAAACCCAGCTTCCAGTACCACATAGGGTGAAGTGTGTATGTTAAAGACAAACAAGTAATTTACAGAAGTGTAATGGGTAGAAACTGAAGATCACCCCCACTGACTTCTGTCCCTTCCCAATGGCACAGGGTCCAGCTCCTGAGCAGAGCCAGGGCCTGTGGAAAGTTCCCCAAGACCTCTGCTCTCTTTCCGGTCTGGAGGCTTGTTAGATGAGGGCAGCTCCTAGTTATAGCAGTTATAGGCTTCAAATAAGACTGGTAGCTTGCTTCTCCCCACCTCTCCCACTCCACTCCCCATATATTTTTTTATTACTGGGGAATTTTAAAAGGCAGCCTGATGGAGAGACAACAGTTAAGAACAGTGACTCCTCTTCCAGATGCCCGGGATCCAATTCCCAGCACCAGAGTGGCAGCTCATAACCATCTATATTTTCAGGTCCAGATGATCCAATGCCCTCTCCTGGCCTCTGAAGGACCACGCACACATGTGGTATATAGACATACATCCGGGCAAAACACACATACACATGAGATTTAAAGGAATGGATCTTTTTTGTTGTGTTTTGGTTTTTTTTGTTGTTTAGTTTTTGTTTTTCAAGACAGGTTTTTCTCTGAGAAGCCTTGGCTGCCCTGAAACTCAATTTATAGACCAGGCTAGCTCCAAACTCATAGAGATCGCCTGCCTCTGCCTCCCTAATGCTGGGATTAAAGGTGTGCACTGCCTAGCAAAAGTAATTTTTTAAGCAGCCTAGATAAAATGTAGCTTATAGCCAAGAAGTTCACCCCTCATAAGCCTACCTTTCATTCAGTGATATTATGAATGTATAGAATGGTTCCCTATCACCACAGTCCTGTTTTAGTATTTGTGTGTTTGGTTTGGTGTTGGGGATTGGGTTGAGGTCCTTGTCTCCCACCTCTGAACTGTACCTGCTATCCCCACTGAAGTCACCCATACCTATGACACCAAACCCTGTCCCCAGTCCCAGCTCAGGACAGCTGATGGACATCCTGCTTATCTTTTACCTTCTCTAGAGAATTTGCTGTGAGGTCAATGGGGCCTTGGTGCATTAGGCCTCATTGGGCCCTATCTGCTTACAGCTTACTGCTGAGGCCTTTGTTCACAGTGTGCAAGATGGGATGAGACTTGTCATATGCTGGGTATGTTTTAATCATATTTTGTTGGTTTGTTGTGTTTTTTTTTTATAGTCAAAAGCAGGGAAAGTATGTATTTGGGAGAATCAGCAGGAAAGACAGGGATACTTCCAGTGCAGAATAGGAAGGAATCTAAGAGGCCTTTGTCTGTAGTGGGCATAGCACCCACTCCCAAGCATAATGCACTTCTGAGCCACATGTGAGAAGAAGCTGCCCCTGCCTGCTCTGGTGCTCTCAGGGTGCCAGGCACAAGCCGAAGTGATTCCTTAGGAGCTAAGTGAGCTGGTACTGAAAACCATGGGGCTCAGAGATGACCCATGATTAAAGTGCATGATGTCCTAAGTTCAGACCCCAGTATCCATGGGAAATACTCAACATTGATGGCACCCAGACGTGTGCACACATGCACCTGCACACCCTGCTGTGCACACACATACCTTCACTTCCACGCACGCACACACGTACACCACACACAACAGAGGTGGCAATGTATGGCCATTAGAGAGTCAGGGAAACACGAGGCTGTTAAATAGTTTTATTCTGCCACAGCTGCAAACCTAACAACTGAGCACCAACCATGTTTTCTTTTTGGAAGGGTTACTTTGGAAAAGGCATTCTTTCAAGAAGCCGTCCAAACTTCACAATCTCCAATCCCAAGCTGGCTGCCAGATGGAAAGGTAAGCTGTGTGTGCAGCTTTCATTTGGTGCTTACATGTCCTGGTGAGATGGTAAGTTCTGGAAGAGAGGCACACTGACAACATTCCTGCCTGGAAGTATACAAAAATATACATCAAAATTGTTCTTTGTTTTGTTTTAGTGTGACTTTTTTTTTTTTTTTCTTTTAAGAATGTCTCCCTACTTAGCCCAGACTAGCCTTGAAATCAGGATCTCCTACGTGCCGGCAGACCAGGCAAAAAGATCCTATGGTTCTTGGAAATGTGTTTCACCTTCTTTGGAATGGTTAGAAGTCTTACATATACAGGACTCTGATTTCAATCCATTTACAGGGGAAAGTATTATTCAGGCTCTTTTGTTATGTCTTGCCTGGCAGGATGCTGTGTGTAGGAAGTTCTGCCTGCCTGTGCTACTGTCAAAATGAGCTTGGTGTTTTATTTGCAGAGGTAGAATTTTCAGTAGCTATGGCATTGTTAAACATACTGTGGGGCTGGTGGTGTGACAGCTGGGTTGCTGAAAATGCTTGCCACCAACCCTTATGACCTGAGTTAGATCCCTCGAACCCTGTGTTAGTTAGGGTTCTCTAGAGAAACAGAACTACTAAAATGACTGCGTGTGTGTGTGTGTGTGTGTGTGTGTGTGTGTGTGTGTGTGATTTATTCATATATAGGATTTATTAGTGCAGCTTACAGGCTATAGTTCAGCTAGTACGACCGTGGCTGGCTGTCTCCTGACAGTCCAATCAGTCAGTAGTTGTTCAGTCCAGGATAATGGATGTCTTAGCCGGTCTTTAGTATACGTGGGAATACTGAAGAGGTGGACTCTGATGCCAACGAGAGGATGTCTCAGGAGCAGGATAGATGAACTTGCCAGTAAGAATGAAAGCAAGCAGGCAAAAAGCAAATGCTTCCTTTTTTCATGTCATTTTATGTAGGCTTCCACTACAAATGATCCAAACAAGACAAATCCCCCACAGGTGTGCCCAGCTTCTTGGATTTTAGTTAATTTCAAAAATAGCCATCACAGGCCCGTATGGTGGAAGGAGTCATTACTTGGAGTTGGCCTTTGACCTCTACACATGCTGTGGCACATACACATCCCCACACACAAATAAATGGAGTTTAAAGTTTAAAACTAATTAATGTGCATAGCTCCTTCGTTTACAATTCTTTTCTCCTAATACATTTTCCAAGGCATCATCATAGTTAAGCAATACCAGTAGGTTAAAACAAAAGAATTACCAGGCATAGTAGTATATGCCTTTAGTTCCAGCACTTGGGAAGCAAAGGCATGCAGATCTCTGTGAGTCCGATGTCAGCCTGGTCTACAAAGTGAGTTTCAGGACAGTCAGAGCTACATAGTGAGACCCTATCTTGAAAAAGGATAAACAGACAGACAGACAGATAGCCAAAAAATTTTTTAAGGCTAAGTACAGTACAATGGTTCTCAACCTTCCTAAGGTTGAGGTTTGATACAGTTCCTCATGTTGTCGTGACCCCTCCAGCCATAAAATTGTTGCTACTTCATAACTATAATGTTACTACTGTTATGAATCACAATATAAATATCTGATATACAGGATATCTGAGATGTGACGCCCACAGGGATTGGCCTCACAAGTTGACAACCACAGGTATAGTGGCTTAGACCTGTAATCCCAGCAGGTAGGAAGCTGTGACAGGAGGATCACCACCTAGAGACCTGTCTCAACAGGGGAAAAAAGGATAGAGATGTCAGGGGTGGGTGGAGAGCTGTGAGATGATTCATGTAAGACAGTGTAGAACTTACTCACACTGAGGTAATAGTTCAGCAGCTGGCCAGAATCTCGAAAGCCTGACAGTGTGCTGAGTTGGTGAGGCAGTGGCAAACTTCCATTGCCACAGGTAGATAGGTGTGTGTGCACACGTCTCAGCCCTTACAGAGGGAATTTGACCATGTTTATCAAAATTATATTTGTATTCTCCCTATAAGCCTAGATTCGTCTTAACAATGCACTGGAACCAATAGGAAGAAAAGCAGCCCAGGCTGTTCTCCGAGGTCCTGTTTGTAATACTTGAAGAATAGAAACAACCCGGTGGAAAGAGAAGGGTGTCAATTGCAAACACTAGAGTGTTCCTGTAAAGAAATACATAAGCTGGGCCGTGAGATGCACATCTTCCTCGGCCACACTTCCTAACCCTTCCAACCAGTGCCACTTCCTGGTGACCGAGTGTTCAAATCTGTGAGCCTACAGGGGCATTCTCATTCAAACCACCACAGTGCTGAATTTGAGAAAGGAGACAACTTTCCTAAAGGCAGAATGAGCGGGACTAGGAGTAAAAGCTAGACTAGTGAATGACCTGAAAACACTTTAGAAGAAAGGACTTGTCCTACTTGGCACCCAGTGGTAGAGCTGGAACTCAAGGCCCCATACCCCAAACCACACCACCATCAAGGGTCTCTCCAGCTCTTCCTGCTGAGCTCACACACAGGGCCCAAGCATTCAGGCTCTATTATATCTGCTTCTGAGCTGGGGCTGAGGTTCTGAGGGCCCGTCTGAGCCAACAGGAGGATGTGGGTGCAAGGTAGGATGTTGGTCAGAACAAGCTGGCTATGGCCAATGTACATCATCGCTCAGCTGTGTAACTAGACCTTGAAATGATCTGTCTTTTTTAGTGCATTTTGTTCCCTCTAAGAAAGTCTGTCTGGAACTAATAGAATGTCTTTCTGTTCCAGGTGTGCAGACAGATATGCCTATAATCACCTCAGAGAAGTAAGTAAGGGTGGCTTACTTACTTGGCTATGATGTAGTGGTGTCTTCTTGGGTCTGGTGTTAGGTAGCCTGTGATGACACAACCTTGCACCTTTGTTTTCTCCTGATAGTAGATAATACTTGGAAACTGTGTCTGAACTTAATGTGGTTCAGATGCCCTCTGAAACGTGTTGCTAGTTCAGGTCAGCCTCCCAAAACACCAACCCATCATGTCGAGAGTGTGTTATAATGTCCTGAGACTCTGGGACTCGGGTTCTGAACGACCTCCCAGCCCCTGTGGACAGATGCTCCTGCCCTCTTGCTTGTTCTACACACTGTAGGGTTAGAGGGTTTCACAGAAGCCCCTGTCAACCCCTCTTAGACATTCTGGAAGCATTTCCCCTGACTCCACAGACACCAGCTAATCCCAGCATGTCCATGGCGTTGCCCAAGCATCACCTCTCCTAGAATTTCTCCCTGCGACAATCCTCTCTACTGCCCCACAGATTGGGCCTACTGCCCTTTTTTCTCTGTACCATCTCTCGCATGCTTGGGTTCGTAGTTAGTTCCAGGCATTTCTGTAGCCTGGACTTAGTGGTCCCTTGATAAGACTAGGACTAAGTGTGGCTCATGTCTATAATCTCTGCACTGAGACAGTAGGATTTCTGTGAGTACAAGGCCAGTTTGGTCTACATAGTGAATTCTAGTTCCTCCTGGACTATAGGGTAAGCCCTTTGTCTTGGTCAGGGTTACTATTGCTATGATGAAACACCGTAACTAAGCAACATGGGGAAGAAAGGGTTTATTTAGCTTACAGCACTGTTCATTATGAAGGAAGTCAAGACAGGAACTCAAACAGGACAGGAACCTGGAGGCAGGAGCTGATGCAGAGGGGTGGTGCTACTTACTGGTTTGTTCCTCATGGCTTGCTCAGCCTGCTTTCTTATAGAACCCAGGACCACCAGCCTAGGGATAGCACCACTCACAATGGACTGGACCCTCCCCTATCAATCACTAATTAAGAAAATGCCGTACAGACTTGCCTACAACAAGTCTTATGGAGGCATTTTTCCCCCTAGATAGGGTTTCTCTGTGTAACAGCCCTAGCTGTCCTAGAACTCGGATTTGTAGACCAGGCTGGCCTCGAAATCACAGAGATCCACCTGCCTCTGCCTCCTGAGTGCACCACCCGGCTGGAGGTATTTTCATAATTGAGGTCGACCCTGTCCTCATCCGCCAATGACCCCCTCCCCCCTTTCCCACCGCATACCCCTTTCTCATAAAACAAAACAGGGGTCTAGTCATCCCAAACCTTGTTTGTGCTCTAGTTCAGATGCCCCCGTCCACGGTGATGTTCCCATCTTCTCATCTGCAATGGAGAGTGTCACAGCTCTGTGCCCTGCTGGCAAGCAGAGTATCAGGGAGGAGTGTTCCCAGGTTAGGCTTGGAGTAGGACTTAGACCTTGGTGAAGCCCCCATCACACCCAAGCCACAGTACACAGGTCACTGCCCTCAAAGCCAGGATTCAGAAACAAGACAGAGGCTGAAGACCCCTCCTAATCAGGCTCACTGTGTAGATGACACAAGGTCAAGCCTGTCCAGGGTAGGGAGCCCTACCTCCCTGAAGGGCACCACTCAGTGGGCACTGTACTGTCCGAAACATGCTTCCTCCGCCCATGCATGTTTCCTTCAGCTGCCAGCCCAAAGGCCTGCAGACTCAGTGACATGAAGCAACAGAAATTGATCTTCAGTTCTGGAAGTCAAAAATCCAAACTGCAGATTCTGACAGGGCTGCCTCCCTCTGGAGGGCACAGGAGGACTTTTCCTACCAGTATCAGCTTCTGGTGGCACATGCAGCTCTCCATCTTCTTGGCCAGTCCCTGACTCCTCCCTCCCTCCCTCCCCCCCCTCTCTCTCTCTCTCTCTCTCTCTCTCGCTCTGTGTGTGTGTGTGTGTGTGTGTGTGTGTATGTGAGACTCCCCTCTCTCTGTATGTGAGTGTGTGTATGTCTCGGTCTTCTTGGCCAGTCCCTGCCTCCTCGTGTGTGTGTGTGTGTGTGTGTGTGTGTGTGTGTGTGTGTGTGTGTGTGTGTGTGTGTGTGTGTGTGTGTGTGTGTCTCCTTGTCTTTTCCTCCTTCTGTTAAGTACACCAGTCAGGATGACCTCATCTTAAATTGAAAAAATATACTAATGGAATAGCTTTCCCATTACTTAGTGGGCTCAGCTCCAGAGTGAGAGGAGTTGACACAGGAGAACAATGCAGCAACTGTTAATGGCAGTGATGCTGGAGTATGTTATGTGAGAGGTGCTGTGCACGTGATCAGCTTCTCTCTTGTCTCCTAAGTCCTCACCTCAGCCCATGAAGACCCCCTCGATCCTCTTGAAATCCATGTTCTGCAGGTGAAGAACCAAACCATGGGAAGTTAAATCCCTTACTTGAGGTCAGAATTGGGCCTTCCAAAGCTGGCTCAGGAATGGCCCAGATAATAAATTGACATGGTCCATCAGGTAAAAGAGGTGATCCGGCCAGTGGGAGAGGCATGTTCCGACCTGGGAACCTGAGAGGTGTGGGGTTCTTGCAGCCTTGAGTGAGTTTGCTTCCAGTCCTAGCTGTGCCTCCGCCCTCCACCCTCTCCCCTTTACTCACTGGCACCTACTCTTCTCTGTTCTTTTTTTATTACTATCATTATTTTTGTTTTTTTGAGACAGGGTTTCTTTGTGTAGCTTTGGAGGCTGTCTTGAAACTCGCTCAGTAGACCAGGCTGGCCTCGAACTCACAGAGATACACCTGTTTCTGCCTCCCAAGTGCTGGGATTAAACACATGCAGCACCACCACTGCCCGGCCTCTTCTCTGTTCTTACCACTCCTCCAGGACTTGGCTTTTTAAGGAATTTCCAGCTAGCAGGAGGACACCACTCTGGGACCTACATGCCACACACCCAGGCTATTTACTGTCTAGCTCTTTCATCTGTCCTTACTCTGGATTTCTTCCGCACAATCCTGTGGCCACTCTTGTTGAAGTATTAGGTCTTCTGAGATATGACAAGGCATATCTCAGGTGTGCAGTGACTATGGCATGTGACAGAAGAGAGGAGAGGCAGAGGTGCCAGTGGGTTAGCTCAGACTCAGAAGAGTTAGGTCCTGGGCCATGTGTAGGTTTTAGTACAGTGTGTGCTGAGACTACCCCTGAAGCCTTGACAATAAGAGAGCAAGCAGATGTGTAACTTCTTGGGCACATCTGTGTTGCACCCTTCACATGCCTCCTTGAAGTTCATCCTTGCCACAACCCCTTGAGGTGGCACACAGAGTGTGCAGGTGAGTCCCTGAGCCTGAGGAGGCAGGTTCACACAGCAAGTATGACTGCCCAGGCCACAGCCCAGGGCGGAGGGGAGCCCAGTGTGCTTGCTGACACTCTGGATCTGTGCAAAGGAAAGGGGATGGCTGAACCTTCACTTAAGTGACTCTTCCAATGTGTTTTGGATTTTAGGTTTTTACTTTTTTCTTTTTTTTTTTTTTCTGTACCTTTGCTTTTGCTTTTTTTCATGCCTGATGTTTTACCTTGTAGCTTAGGCTGGTCTAAAGCATGCAGTCCTCCTGCCTCAGCCTCCAGTTTGCTGGTATAACATACTTGCACCACTGTGATTGAGTCATATTTTTAAGTCAAGGGATCTGCAGTTGCTAGCACAAGAAAACTTCTTTCTAGATCTTTCCAGCATTTCTACTGCATGTGTTGGTCACAGGGCCACAATGTCCCCCAATTTTAAAAGGTTATATGTAGCAAGATCTTTGTGAGCCAGTAGGACTAGTATCCCCAATTTTGTAGGGGAGGAAATAGAAACAGAAGCTAAGAAATCTACACGGTACTAAATGATGGAGTCCAGACTAAACCCCAAACGTGCAATAATAGAATCTCCACATTTTATACTGTTACCATACAGGTTTCAGACCAGCCTTGCCATGATTCAGTCTTTAAATCCAAGATTCAGTCAAGCCTGGTTGGCACAGGCCTGTAATGCCAACTACTCCAGAACTGAGATAGTGGGAGAGGGTGGAAGGGGAGAAGGGAGTGGGGAAAAAATGTATAGCTCGATTTTCTTAAAAAATGGCAAAAAAAGAAAGAAAATGAGGCAGAAGAATTGGCAAATTCAAGTCCAGCCTGGGCAACTCAGAAAGACCCTTTCTCAAAAGAGGAGGAGTGGGGAGAGATATGCCCCGTGGTAGAGCACTTGAGCACTTGCCCTTGCTTGTGGCCCTAGGTAATCCCCAGAACAGCAATAAATGAATTAGTCAAAGATTCAGTCCCAGTGTACAAGGATGTATGTTCATTTGTGTGTAGGAAGACCAATGTGAACAGCTTGGGTTCTGATGAGCCAAGGTGAAGCAGACACCAGTCTTTCTGGGTGCAAAAGGCAGTTTGCCTGCTGGATTGTATGAGACATAACAGTTTGTGCACCCTGATATATCCAGGCATCTAAGCACACAGGTGAGGAACACATCCAGCAATGTCCTGATACAGCCTTGTTGTCTTCATGGTCTTTGTACCTTGGCAAGTGCTCAGTTCTTTGAGTATAGAAATGTAATGTGATACTATATTCTGAAGGGGGATTTATTTCAGTGTGTGTGTGGTGACGGCTAATCTTAAATGTCAACTTGACACACGTGGGAAGAAACCATGGTTCATTGCTTCTGTCAGATTGGTCTACAGGACATTTTCTCAACTAATTGATGGAGGAGGGCCTAGACCACTGTGGGTGGTACCATCCCTAGGCAGGTGGGCCTGAGCTGTATATAATTCAAATAAATAAAAGACCCAGAGACAGATACTGGGATTCAAGCTGAAGACCAGGAAAACAAAACAACCGGCCACTAGCTCTCACCTCTAGCTCAGGCTGAAAGGGCTGATGCACGCACAAGCTCTTCAAGTCTCAAACTGTTGCCTCTCCTCAGTGTGGCTGCCTCTCCTCAGTGTGGCTGGAGAACAAATGCCTCCTTCTGAATCCTTGCTCCTATCTTGTTACCCCTCTAGTGCTTCAATTAAAGGTGTGAGCTATAATTCTCTTTTAGACTGATTCAGTCTTGTGTAGATCTAGGTGGCCTTGGACTCACTGAGATCCATCTATCTCTTAATCCTGAGTCCTAGGATTAAAGGTGTGTACTACCACTGCCTAGTTTCTGGATGCTGGGATTAAAGGTGTGTATCACCACTACCTGATCTCTATAGCTTGAGACTGACTTTGCTTTTCTGAATCCTCAGTCAAGCTTTAATAAATCATAAATAATATATCACTACAGCTGTATAAGAAAGCTTGCTGACCATGAGCTAGAGAGTGAGTTGGTAAACAAAGTTCCTCCAAGGCCTTTGCTTCCATCCCTGCCTCCAGGTCCTGCCTGGAGTTCCTGCCCCAGGTTCCCTCATGGTGCCTTTAAGTTCTAAGTTTTGAAATAAACCCTTTCCTCCCCAAGTTGCTTTTGTTCAGTGTTTCATCACAACAGAAAGCAAGCTGTATATAAGGCAAACCATTTCTTTTTATGTCCAATGATGTTCGTGGATACCATGAAAAGTATTGATTGACATTTGCTTTCCAATACTAAACAAAGGATCTTATGAAAGGAGTATCGGTAACGAACTGTGAAAATAAGATAAAATGGACACCAGTAAAAGTCAATATTTTCTCTGCCTTATTTACCAGGGTCTCTTGGTTTTAAATTACATAAGTTTTCACACTTTGTTAAATGGGGGTTAATTTTTTCAAAGTAAGCAAATGATACCAAAGGGCCAGTGACACATCCATGTTGCTGGACAGTTAGATGTAGGAGAATGTGAAGGAGGTAAGCTCTGCCTGTAATCCACCCTTCAGGAAAACTCCACATCTTGGTGGGCCATCATGTAGACTTTTTTGGTCATTTTGTTGTCTTGGAGTCGAGACGGTGTGTTGTTGACGGTGTTCCTGTGGGCAGGTATCAGCATCGAGTGGAATGGGCCATGGATTTCATGCGTAGGCAAGGCCAGGAGGAGAGCACTGTGCAAAAGATCTTGACAGACTACACAGAGCCACTTGAGCTCCCTTGCAGAAAAGGGAAAGAAGAGGTCCCTCAGCATGACCCGCTCAACTCTGAGGCCAACTCCACCCTAGAAGGCAGAGTGGGAAAGGACGAACTCTCTGTTACCACTGGAGGTGCTGGACAGTCAGATGACTTGCAGGGTCTCAACACACACTCAGACTGCCTGCAAGAGGGGCCTGGCCAAGCCACACTCACCGTGGCTAGTCCATCTAGCTTTAATGGACATGTGATAGAAGACACCACAGTTCTGCCCCAGGTCCCCTGCCGTATTGCTCAGGATGGCCTTTGGCCTGAAGACAGCAGCCAGGCAGCAGGAGAGAAAAGGGCTGCTCATGAGTATGTACTCGTAGAGGAAGAGCTGTGTGATGTCCAGGAGGAAGACGAGGCCCCAGATGAGAAGGTATGTAGAACAAAGTACCATGCCCCTCATCTGGGCTTCAGTTACAGTCAACCACAGTCTGAGAACGTTGCTGTTTGTCTTGGCTTTTTAAAGAGAGACCACATCCATTACTGCTCTCACCACAGTGTTAGGATCCCTTTCCTTTACTGTTAGTCACTGTTGTTAGTGTCTAACTAATGCAGACTTTGCCGTGGCTGGATGTGGATAGGAAAAATATAACAATGGGGTTAGTGCTACCCATGGTTGTAGGTATCCATCAGGACTCTTGGGGTATGTCCCCTGGAGATTCGAAGGCTGTCAGTCATTTCTCCAGAGCTACCTGCTGCTGGCCAGCAGAAGATATCAGCCCACCCAGGTGCCCTTCACTTGCCGTGGGGCAGGCCTGTGATGACACTGGGCCTGTATGGTGCTTCTGAGGCCACCACTGAAGCATATAGTTCAGTTGCCCAGCAGTTGAAGACAGTTTCCACTAAAATTCAAATTTAAAAAAAATTTAAAGTAAGTTAAAACAAGTAATCCTCTGTGTCTTGTTTGGGAGAAGAAAGGCAGTGTAATTGCCTGATGTCGGGTACAGCTAAGAGAATGAAGATTCTGACACCGAAGAACAGGTCTTGTACAGCTTGTGAGTGGGAGACACTGCGTTTAACAATGGAGTATCACATCATTGGGAAAAAGCCCATGGGATAGTGTTAGCAGCAGAAAAATCAGAGCATCTTTTCCCACGAAGGTTATTTTACTCAGTAGCATGTTAGCATTGGGCTTATCAAAAAAATGTTCATTTGGGGATTCAGTCTTCATGACAGGCGGTATTCACCTGTGTCCCAGGTGACTGGTTCTCTTCCTTCCTTTCTTTGTAGTTGCTGCAAAGAAAGAGACTGGTGTGCAGAAGAAATCCATACAGGATCTTTGAGTATCTACAGCTCAGCCTAGAAGAGGTATGTATGCATCTTGCTGGCTGTCTCAGCCCTGGGTGAGTCTAGCCCTGTGCGCCGTGCACCTGAACCCTCCTCAGAGAGCAGTTCTGTGTAGAATGCTAACTGCTGAAATACCTGCCGAGATGCTGATCCTCCGCCTGTCTCATCAGTTCTGAGTGTGTTGGAGCTGGGCTGTAGCTCAGCGAAATCACTAAAATGGCATGTGAAAGTCGTGGGTTCAAACCCTCAGCAAGGAAAGAAAGGAGTTTTGAGCATTTAAGGGGTTTGTATGAGCCCTCTCATCTTCCTCCCTTTTCCTCTCTCCTCCTCCTTCCTCTTCTTTTCCTTCTTTTTTTTTTTTTTTTTTTTTTTTAAGTAGGTTCTTGCTGCATAGCACAGGCTAGCCTGAATTCACAGCCCCCTGCCTCAGGTGTGCTAGGATTTAGGTGTGTGCCACCACACCTAACTTAATCCTTCTTTCTCATCACTGTTCCAAGATATTGTTAGGCTTTTCTATTCTTAGCTTGTTTGTTTGTTTTGAGGCAGGGTATCATGGTGTAGCTCTGGCTGCCCAAGAACTCAAATCTATAAACAGCTGGCCTCAAACACACAGATCCTCTGACAGCCCCGTGAGTGCTGGGATTAAAGGTGTACATCACCGTGCCAAGCTTATTTCCATCAGCCTTTTAAAAATTAATCTTTACTAAGGTGTAATTAGCATACCAGTTCATTCATTGGAAGTGTGTAACTCAGGCTGGGAGTGAAGGTTGTTGACAGAGTACCTGCCTGGTATTCACAGAGCCCTAGGTCAATCCCCAGAACTGTAAAAAAACAAAAACACAGTCCACCTGGTGTGGCCACTTGTGCCTGTGGCCTCAGCTGCTGGGAGACTGAAGAAGGGTGAGCATTTAACCTAGAAATTCAAAACCAGCTTAGACAGCATAGTCAGACTAGTGATGCATGAACTCACAAAGGTATAAAAACTGATTTATTAAGGGGTGCAATGAAAAGGACAAACTCACAGTTACAAAGTAAGGCTGAAGCCGCCACTGATCCCACGCTGCCACTTGGGTCTCCCACCACGCCAAGTATCAGCCAGAATAAGAGAGCGCACATTCTCCTCCAGCTTTTCACTTCTCAGGTAGCACCCCAGGCCACACCCTAAGGCCTGCACCCCAACGCAATTGGAGGAAAGAATTCCCACAACAAGAGAGGGAGAGAATTAAAGTTTTCTAAATCACAGAACCGACTGTTGTGCTGTGTGACTGTGATCACGTACCGACTGCTGAGTGAGTGAGTTGATTCTAGGCATTTCCTTCTGCAGAATCACTTTAGTGTGCTCCACTCACTGGATTAGCTGCATTCTGAAGTGTCTGTCCTTCTAAAAAATGACTCCACACTGCCCCTCTGATATCTTCCTCTAGCTATGGTTCCACTCGGTTGAGACCCTCCCTTCTTGCCCCCATCTGCTCTGCAGACAGAACTCTGTCTTTCTGCTGTGGGAGACAGTGGGCCCTTCCTGGGCTTCTCCAGTAGCTCTGCAGCACCACAGCTCTTGACAGACATGTGGGTCTCTGGAGAATTTGTTGCGTTCGTCCACAGTGGTCTTCTCAGGGCTGTGTCTGTAACCCTCTGTTCCTGGTCCATACTTCTTCCTTCTGTTCTCATCTCATTGACCCCCTCACTGTTCTCCCCCTCTCTCTGTTCCCCTCTTACTGAACCCCGTGCTGTCCTCTGTAGATAAACACACCTCCTGCTCTCACCTGGATTCCATTGCCTTCTTTCCGTTCCAGTCCCCCTCCCTGAAGATTTCATCCTCTCATGCCATCCTTTCTGTGTTTATGACCAACACACATAAATTTCCATATAGATTCGGGGAAAATAGAGAGTTGCCGGGGATACCCTGCAGAATTTGACCTGAGCCGGGCTTGTTTGGCTTCACATAACGATCTTCATTTTCCCGCATGTGTATCATTTTGTTTTTCTTTTGGTCGAATGAAATCCCATTGTTCGTGTGTGCCGTGATTTCTTTATCCTTTGTACACAGTAATTATCCTTAGGTGATGAGATTCTCCTTGTAAGCCCTCTGGCCAACTGCTGGGGGAAGGAAGGCTGGTGGGGCCTTGGAGGGATGACGCAAGTAGGGATGTGTCCTTCCTATTAGAGCATTTCCAGAGCACCTCCTGAGTGGCGGGCAGGGCAGGGTAGGTGCTGGAGATGTGAGCAGGAAAAGGACCTCCTCCCTGTTCTTCAGGGGATCTGCAGTTGGGGTGGAGGAGGGGAGCTCCTGCCACAGCACCTGCCCCTCTGCCTCACCTGCGTTATCTGCTCCAGATACCGTGGGGACTGCACTGTGCTTGTTTGATTTCATGGAAGAGGGAGCATCCACAGGGGTGTCTCTCATTGGCCCATGATTAGGGCTCAAGAGGAAGTCACACATAATGAGAACAATGGAATAGTGTGTGTGCTGGTCTTAAGTTCCATGTGCATAGTCTTAATGTCTCTGCTAAGGACTAATTTGTGTGTTATCTCAAGTCCTCATATCACCCTAGATCCTGTTGTAATCTTTCTGATGGGGAAGAAACTGAACCGCAGGCTGGTTAAATTCCTTGCTCAAGATCAGTACTTGAACCTAAGCCATCTGACTGTACAGCCTGAAGTCTGAAGCATTTGCTGGGAACTGCCAATGATAAATAAGATGATGGTGACCGGGATCATAACTCCATGGCACAGCAGTTACTTAGCATGCCTGCAACCCTGGGTTTGCTCCCCTCCATGTTAAAGATAGAAGTGAAGTAATAGACAAAGATAAATAGGTCTTTAAAGATAAATGGTAGCCCACACCTTTAATCTCAGCACTGGGAAGCAGAAGCAGAGGGATCTCCGTGAATTCCAGGTCAACTTGATGTACATATCAAGTTCCAGGCCAGACAGGGATACACAGTGAAACCCTGTCTCAAAAAAACAGAAAAGATATGTAGGGAGAAAATACTGGCCTCTTCAACATAGAGGGTGACATTCCAGGATGTTTCCCCCAGAGGGTTACAGTGAAGATCAAATGAGATGTGTCGTGTGTCGGGGGCCTTTCCTGGAAGGCACACAACTTCGTGCACATCTCTCACCAAGATTGTGACATCCCTAAGTGGGACATGGCCCCAGCTTGGTTTTTGATTCTCTCTGTGGTCCTGACACAGAATAGCAGGTACTTTTGTTTGTGTGTTTTTTCCTCTGAATTTAAAATGAGCTCCTGCGGAGTTTGGTTTGATTGTAGCTTGTGGAAGGATCTGACTTGCTAAGGAAAAGCTTAAGGGGAAGGGGGGGGGGGGTATGTTTCAGATGCACTCCTTTCTTCTTATTCAGTGTAACTGTTCTCTTGGAGTTCATGTTCAGTATCAGATAGCACATTAACTTAACACAAACATAAGATACACGCACATGGCTTTCCTGGCTGGGTTCCTGACTCTTTGGTGGCCTTCATTCCCTCCCCCATAGCAAGTTGTCCTCTCTCTAAATTGTTGACACCCATCATAAATTAAGAAAACTTCACAGTGACTGCATCACATGAGTGACTTTTGCCTTTTCCTCTGTTGGATGCTGATGGCTGTAACACAGATAGCATCTTCCATGGGTGGCATCTTCTCTGTCCTGCTCTTGAGCCGTGCCCACAGCAGACTGTTCCACTCTAACTGATTCTGTACGCTCTCTCTGTATCTCTCTCTCTCTCTGTCTCTCTCTGTGTCTCTCTGTCTCTCTCTCTCTCTCTCTCTCTCTCTCTCTCTCTCTCTCTCTCTCTGTCTCTCTCTCTCTCTTCCTTTAAGGAGTCATGTAATCATGGCAGGCTGCTCTGTAGCTTCAGAGAGGTCTGCCTTTGAGATCTGATTTTCCAGTTCTGTGGGCTCTACCTGAATAAGCCACATGATGGAAAAACTGTCATCAGGTTCACTCCCACCTCAGCACCCAAAAGGGAAAGCTTCCTAGTGATGCCACTTCAAAGACCCCCCTCCCCTGTCTTGTGAGGGTTTGACTCCAAATAAAAATGTCATAGTGAGCCGGGTGTTGGTGGCACACACCTTTAATCCCAGCACTTGGGAGGCAGAGGCAGGTGGATCTCTGTGAGTTCTACAAGGTCTACAAGAGCTAGTTCCAGGACAGCCTACAAAGCTATAGAGAAACCCTGTCTCAAAAAACAAAACAAAACAAAACAAAAAATATCTTAGTGAGATGAGAGAGATAGTGGTTAAGAGCTCTGGCTCTTAAACTCAAGAGGATCCAAGTCCTGTTTCCATTACCCACGTGGTGGCTCCAGTTCCAGGGGATCTGATGCCCTCTTCCAGCCTTCTTGGGTCCCTGACACACACATGGTGTACATACATACACACAGACAAAACACCATACACATAAAATAAAAATTAAATCAAATTAAACCACTCAATGAAGGCTTGAACACAGGTCTGCTAGACCTTATTCAGTCTCCACTATGCTCTTCTGAGGCTGATTCTTTTTTGTATTGCACCATTCTGAACCAAGGAATGCAAATTTGACAAAATGAAGGGAGCTTGTCTACCAGAGGAGACAGTTTAATCTTTTCATGGTATTTCTAGTCACCCTGGGCCATCAACAAACTGCAGAATTCAATCTTAGGAAAGGTGATGACAAGAGTGAGGCCAGGGCCAAGTTGTAGTAGGCCTGTAGGGCTGTGGGCAGCCCTGAGAGAGCTAGACCAGCCTCGGGACATGTAGACCAAGCTGACGAAGGTACAGAAGCCCCTAGTGCATCTAGCCACCTGGGCCTAAGCCAAGACAGGGATTGGGGTTCCTTTTGTAAGGATTCAGGCATTATGCTGGCCTGACCCTGTCATCTGGCAGAATGCACTCAGGCAGTACCCTGGTCAGCCCAGGGTTCCATGACTACCAGTCTGCACACGGGTGCAAAAGACCCTTTAAAAGGAAGACCCCTACCCACTTACACTCTCCCTCTCTCTTTCCTGCTATTTCCCCTGGGGCAGACAGGACTTTTCCTGTGTCCCTCTTCTGTCCTCTCTGTGCTCTGTGTGTGTGTCTCTTTACCTCTTTTCTTCCCCCCTCCTTTTTTTTTTTTTTTTTTTTTTTTTTTTTTTTTTGAGACAGGGTTTCTCTGTGTAGCTCTGTAGACCAGGCTGGCCTCAAACTCACAGAGATCCACCTGCCTCTGCCTCTGAGTGCTGGGATTAAAGGCGTGCGCCACCAACGCCCCCCCCAACGCCCCCTCTTTCTAATAATTCCCTCTCGTGCTTTATCATCATACCATTCTTTTTTAGCTTTTTTAACCTTTTTTAATTCTTTTTTATTTAAATTAGAAGCAAGGTTGTTTTACATGTCAATCTCAGTTATTTCTTTTTTTTTTAAGATTTATTTATTATATACAGTGTTCTGCCTGCATGTATCACTGCAGGCCAGAAGAGGGCACTAGATCTCATTACAGATAGTTGTGAGCCACCATGTGGTTCCTGGGAATTGAACTCAGGACCTCTGGAAGAACAATCAGTGCTCTTAACCTCTGAACCATCTCTCCAGCCCTCCTTTCACTCTTTCAACACAAGGACTGAGCATTCACCAAAGGGGAGCTAGACAGTCTTTTAGGCTGAGGTACAGCTCCAGGCTTGGTTCTGCCTGACTTGATCTTCTCCTCAGAGAGGTACATGGAAGAAACACACTTCCAGACAAAAGCAAATGCTCTGGGGGAGGCAGGCAAAAGAGTTGCTGGAGCCTGTGGTGAGGAAAGGACCATTAACGCGGCAGAGAGCAAGAGTGAGAAGGGCTGGGCATACTCCAGGACCAGTACTGAGCCACCACATCCTGCTCTAAATAGTATTCTTACAAAAAATAACTTTTCCAAACCAAGCTGAGTGAGAATATTGCGCCTGTTTTGCAGATCATTGTGAGGTCTGGCTGTGATGTCTCTGCCATGGTCTCACCATGGGCTTGGGGCTTTTCTGCCTCCATCCATGTCCTCCCCCACCTACCAGGAACACGAATGAGGCAGAGAGTATTGAGTTTGAGACCCAGGACCTCCAGACAGCCTTAGAGAGCTGCAGTGTGGAGAACCTCAGTGTCCAGTGGCTCTGGATGGTTCCAAGGAGGTCACTGAAGTGCTAGGCCCTGCACCCTCTCATCCCTGGCACTTCTGCACCTTTCAGCTTTCTGGCCCTTTATTGCCACATGTACACCAGGCTGTAACAGGAGGAGACAGTGAGGAAAAAAGCCAAGTCCTGACTGTACTCAAGGACCCTCCTGCCCTGAACCTGGAGGCAGGACTGTTTGTAACTATTTGTGGCTAGCGTGTCTCATGCCCTTTCAGATATTTTGATGCTAGAAAAGTCACATTGGGGTGTAATTTGACAGGGTAGTTCAGGCATGCTGGAGGTCCTCAGTCTGCAGTCAGTAAAATACAAAGAAACCCAGTGTCGCTATAAGCTATCTTCTAATACCGCCCACCACGCCATCTCCTGGGTGCCTGAGACCTGATGATTGTAGTAGATCCTGATGCCCGGGACAGAAGCCACAACATGTGGCTGTTGGGATGGGATTAGTGTTTGGGAACATATTGGCTTTGTCAGAAAGCTATTTTTATTTCTGTTGGGTGTTGCTGGGGTGAACAAGAGTGTGCTAGAGGGTTGCTTTACATGCCCACCCTCGGAGAGCAGCAGTGCTTCTAACAGGATGGTTCCCTGTTTTGTTGTAGGCTTTCTTCCTGACATACGCCCTGGGATGTTTAAGTATTTACTATGAGAAGGTAAGTTTCTGTATACACATAGTCTCACAGTCTGATGTTAACAGTGGGTTGGCCCCTTCCCATGGAGCTTGAATACCAATGTGTCAACTTTGACTGAAAAAAGTAGGAATTGCCTTTTTCCTGTAAGTTTTGGGTTTGAGCCTCAACTGAAGCACTTCAGGTACAAGTCAGGGTGACCCTTTTAGATTGTGTCTTCTTCAGAACGTTCAGGAAGTACAGCTTGGTATGCAAGAAGGAAACCTGTATCTGTATGGTACTAAAAACACCAACAAAAAGCACTCAGGAGCACAGTGCCTGTTTGACATATGTGAGGCCTTGTTCCACCCCTAGCACTGCAAAAATAATCAAAGTTACCAATATATCCTTCCTGTACATTCCTGTGTCGGGCCCTCTAAATTCACTGGTTTTTATTTGTTTGGATTTTTTATATTTTGGGTTTGTTTTTTGTTTGTTTCACTTTTATGTGTATAGGCATTTTGCCTGCATGTTGATGCAGCCCATTCATGCTGGGTACCCACAAAGGCCAGAGAGGGCATTTGATCTCCTGGAACTAGAGCACAGACAGTTACGAGCTGCCATGCGGTTGCTCTTAACCACTGATCAATCTCTCCAATCCTTTGTGTTTGTTTTCAAGTCAGGATCTCCCTTTCCAGCCTAGGCGGGCCTGGAACTCACTAAGTGCTGGAATCCCATGTGTAAGCCGTGGTGCCCAGCTTGCCTGTGCTGTTTCTGATCCTTCCTGCCTCTTAGTAGTCGATGCATTAACAAGCTAACTGAGGCTCAGAGAAAATAAGCATCTCAGCCAAGGCCACCTGGCTAGTGTGGTTAGAATCAGCTGGTAAACCCATATCTGAGTGTCTATGGTTTCACCTTGGTCAGGGTGTTGCCCTCGCTGACCTCAAGGCATTTGAAGAGGGGGTGACCTGTCACTGGACATTTTTTGTCCTTTGTGAATTGAGAACCTTACTGATGTAATGCCTATTCAAACTATGTAAGATACAAAGGAAGTGCTTGTGTCTACTTCTTAGGGATCCTCGGGCACCCTGCTCCAGTACCCCACTAGAACTCCACCTTCTTGGGGACACTTATTGAGGGATTGAAGCCACATATACAGGGACAAAAACTAATCCTGGGTGCTTACAAGAACTATTTGTTTTCTGGGGGCAAAGCCCAGGGCCTTGTTGACCATAAGCATATGCTCTGCCACTGAGCTGTGGCCCAGCCGTATCTGTGGAATTAAAGCTTAGGCTGAGCTGAACTGAGCTTGTCTCACAGGGTGACTGAGCCCCAGCCAGCTGACGAGTTGATTCTTTCCCAAAGCAATGGAACGAGGAAAGACGCTTTCCAAACCCAGCCAATTGCTTGTGACTGTTTGCTGCTGGAACCTGGAAAAACATTCTTGTTCTATTCTCTGGACACAGCTGAGTTATTGTGCTGCTCTGTCAGGGGCCATTCTCCTATCTGAAAGCTAAGATGGAGCCAGGAATCATCTTTGGGTCTTTAATGAAAATTTCATTTACAGAATTAATTTTACTCTCCTGAGCCTGGCCTGACATTGCAGTAGCTGCTCACTAAAGGGCAGTGTGTTTTAACAAACAGATGGGGGATGTTCTGCTGTATATATGTTTCTCTTATTGGTTGATGAATAAAATACTGATTGGCCAGTAGCCAGGCAGGAAGTATAGGCAGGGCTACAAGAGGAAGGAGTAAGGAGAGAGGGTGAAGCCTTGAGAGATGTGTCATGTAGGACACTCCAGGCATTCTCTGGTAAGATAAGGCCATGTAGAAATGCATAGTCTAGTAGTTATGGGTTAATAATTAAGAGAGAATTAGCTAGTAAGAAGCCCTAGCCATTGGCCAACAGATTATAAATTAATATAAGTCTTTGTGTGTTTATTTGGGGCTGATCGGCTACGGGACCAGGCTGGACAGAAACTTTCATCTACAACAAGCTCCAGTGGGCTTATTACACTTTAGTCCAACACTACACATTGCCCAGATCCCCACCTTTTACATGGCCTCTGACCCTTGCCCTTTGCTGTTTCTCTTTCCTAGATGTTAGCTTTTCCAATTCCTTTTCTCTCCCACTCCCTCTCCCTCTACCCATCCCTCTCCCTCTCCCACTCCCTCTCCCTCTCCCCCTCCCTCTCC